TTTTACTTAACTATGCATTTTGCTCTTTTAATTTTTAACATTTTTCACATAACGCCGCCCTTTTTTAACTTCGAGAAATAATTTGCGTTTTATATAATGGTGAAAGCACTGAAATCATTTCCTTTTAGAACATGTGATTTTGCGTAGGTTTCTTTGCGAGCGGTGTTTGTAAATATTGCTTAGGTTACGTTATATAATTTTGTTTTAACATCTCTTGACTTAAGGTTTAGGAGTCTCAGTGAAAGGTTCAAGTGTCCTCATCTACTTGGTTTTGATTTACCTTCTCTCGCGCCGTTCAACGGGCTCGTCTGCCTCTGCGGGAGATGAAATTGCAAAATTCAATGCCGCTGACCCGTCAGCGGTCAGTCTACGTGATGGGGATTCCTCGCTTCCCACATCTCTTCCCCAACGAAGACCAAGTCTGAATCTTGTCGTGGCCGATATTCGAGACTCCACATGAACTGCCAAATGTCTGAGCAAAGTTGTGTCTCTTTATCGTGTCTTTCATTTTCTCAGACTGTTGCAAACCTCGCATTTGTTTGACGCTATTGACGCACTCCTAGTACTATAATTATTACGATTTATTTGCGGGCCTGAATTCTACGTCCGCTTGTAATTCTTCCACTTACCCCAAGTGCACTTATTAAATTCTGTTTGTATCGCTGCCACCGCAGCCGTTACCTAATAGCTTTTATTTATCCCCCAAAAAAAACTTTTATAGAAGTCTCATTTATTGCCCAGGCAGTGGTCATCAGGTTCTTTTTTTGTGTTTGAGGCTACAGGGGAAAGGGAATCAATCGCTATTGTTCCATTAAATTCACAATAAAAGCGCGTTTAGCCACCGAGATGTGTTGTCCTTGTCCGTCTGGCCGTTCGAAGGGTTGAACTTATTGTACCTAATCGTGAGGAAGTTTCTTTCGTCAGATAAACACGTATCTCCTTTTTTTACAGATTTTATTCCAAGGCTTTCTTCTGGTTCTGTTAACATTTCCTGATACTCTATGCCCTAACACAACTCACAGTTGCCTTCTCAGTAGGCTACAGTATCTTTGCCATGCGACATTATATGTTGCTAAGAGCAACTATGCTTATTTCCACAAAGTAATATTGTCATTTCATTACTTCATATATGTCCGAGGATAATTAAGCACTAAACTTAAAGCACCTAAAAATAGCGTTTTCCCTTAATGTCACTTCTTTTATGAGTGTACGATTTTTTGGCAATATCCCCTTTTTTATGCCTTGACGAACGATTAGTTGGTGGTTTTATTTATTTCTCCAAATGTCTCGGATGGGAATAAATTCCGCGATTCATAGACAATTTTGTTACATGGCATAACCTTTTCTATGTGTGATGAATTGTCGGTAATTCCGGTGTCTCTTCTCTGTGGCAAAATCCCTCGATAACGTTTAAATTGCGTCTGATCATTTACAATAGAAATTTGGATATCAAGCATGGATTTATAAAATCGATTAACACTGGTAACCAGGGTCAGAATTTCAGGCTGTCAATTCGTATCCCTTTCTTCAACATGGCAATTGGTCCTGGGACCGAACATCTCTAAGTTCGTAACTATTCGGTTAGACAAATTATTAAAGTTTGTTTGAGTTGTCAACTATAGGTTGCGTTAACTCGTTGGAAAGCTATTGATTTTCTTATTGCAAAATCATCTTTTCCAACATTATAGGGAGGGCACTTCCTTTAGTCTTTATACAATTGTACATAGGCCGTTGAATCCTTTATCTTCATTTAGTGAAATCTGTTCTCTTTTTTCCCAAAAATATCGAGCGACACAAATAAAAGTCCATGGGTGATCCTCAAGGTTTTTAGATGCATTGCTTGCCATTAAAAATTAAGGCCCACAAGCAGTAATCTGACACTACTACATAGTTGCCTATGTCGTTAGAGAAAGCTATTGCCATCATCTACTTACTGAATAAAGATTATTCAATCATATTTGAATGGCATCAAGCACTGAAATAACTGCATATTTGCCAAAATTGGGTCTTCATTGTGGTATATACCTATTAATATTTGATAAAATTTGCTAATCTTTTTGAGCAATCAAGAGATTGTTGAATTAAAAAATCACGCTTATTTTGAAAATCAGGCACATGTTTTTGAATACAAGTGTTCATAATTATAATTCATACATTTTAATTTAATTAAAAATGTTTATTGCTGTTGTGTAATCAAAGCATTGGCGAACCATCTAAAAGGCTAGGCTTGGTCTGGATTTGTCTAATGTTGTCAATACTACATCCATGTTTACGTGTTTAAAATAGATCAAAAATAGCATAAATTTTGTGTAAGTTCTGTATGAAAACAGATGGTTTTAAACGAATTATAAATTATAAAATTTATCAAACCAGCACTAGCGAGCCCCTAGTCTAATAGCGAGGAATAATCGACTCATTTTCGCCTTTTTGGGAAAAGTTGTATTTATTCAATTGGTAGTATTGGTGATTTTGCCATTATGATGATGTCTACACAGTTTAATTAATCAAATATATTAAATATACACGTCTTTTTCTTCTAACATACTTAGCGTATTGATATCCATGCAATCAGTCGTGGCTCTTTTATAATCTTACTTCAAAGGCGGATAATTTGAGTTGATAATACGGACCACTGAATACAGGACATAGAAAAGGAATCATGTCTTTGAATGATGGTGCGTTTTGTGATCGCTCAGCTCGATGGCAAGCCATTGAATGTATATTGGGTCGTAGTGGGCCTCTTCAGCGTAGTGGATTCGAACCGTCTTCTGAGGTCTGGTAGATTAGATTTCATTTTTTAGATGGTTAACATGATTTCAGAACATGTTCGGGCCCTTGTTGTTGGCGCTGGGGGTCTTGGATGCGAAGTATTAAAGTGTCTTGTGGGTTATTTTTTGTTTGTTATTTTTTTGAAGGCGCTAATGGGATTCTGCCAAATAGATGTAATCGATATGGACACAATTGATCTTTCGAATTTAAACAGACAATTCCTGTTCACTGAGAAGGACATTGGCCGCCCTAAAGCAGAAGTTGCTGCTGAATTTATCATGCGCCGAGTTGGCACTTGCAAAGTCACTCCACACTTCAAAAAAATTCAGGATTTTGACCCTAGCTTTTATAAGCAATTCGACATCGTGATATGTGGTCTTGATTCTGTTATAGCACGTCGGTGGATCAATAGTATGCTTGTAAGAAATTTGGAGTTTGGCATTATCAGAACTTCGATTTTTCTTTTGTTCTTAATGTTTACTTGTGTTTTTAGGCAAGTTTAGTTGAATTTAACGAGGATGGAACTCCTAATCCTTATACCGTGATACCTTTAGTCGATGGTGGTACAGAAGGTTTTAAGGGACACGTCATTGTTGTACTTTTTGGCATTACTGGATGTATTGAGTGTAGTCTGGACCTTTATCCACCCCAAGTTAATTATCCGCTTTGTACAATTGCTCATACACCAAGATTGCCAGAACACTGCGTTGAGTTTGTTCGTTTACTTCTTTGGCCCCAAGAACAACCTTTTGGTCGTAAGTATGCTTTTGCACAGTTTTCGTTAAATGATAGCCCTTTTTAATCCATTCTCAACCCCACTACATCTGTTACAGCCGGTGTAGATATTGATGGTGATTCTCCTGAACATCTCGAGTGGATTTTTAATAGATGCGTAGAACGTGCTAACGAATATGGCATACGAGGGATAACTATGCGATTGGTAAAAGGTGTGATTAAGAGAATTATACCAGCAGTTGCTTCGACTAACGCTGTCGTTGCTTCGTCTTTAGTAACTGAAGTGAGTTGTGTTATCCAACCAATTTTACTCTATTTTCGTTAAATTAGGAACGTTAGTGAATTACATAAGCGTTTTTATTCTATTAAATTACATTTGAATGAACTTAAACTGACCTGTTATAGTAATTTGGTGTTCAACCTCGGTTTGCTTTTTTAGGCCTTCAAGCTTGTGACTCTCTGCTACGATTACTTAGAGAATTACATGAACTTCTCTGACATTGATGGAATCTACACTTATATATTTCCTATCGAACGCAAGGTAAGCCTATGCAGTACTAATAGTTAATGCCAAGTTTTCTGCTTATTGAAATTATTAATGCTCCCCATGTTCTATGAAAACTGGTCTTATTTCGGTTCCTAAACTTGTTATGAAGCAAAAGCTTGAATGTCTCAAGAAGATCCTTATCCCATCACTCCTTCAAACTAGCACGTTATAGCCAGAATGGGTTTACTTCTTTTCAGGCGGATTGTCTTGTTTGCAATAATGTTCCGAAAAATCTCAGCTTTCCATCGACAGCAACACTAAGAGAACTTGTGGATCATCTAAAAAATGACCCTGTTTTGTGAGTGGCTCGTGTCATCACTTTGTCCAATTATTGGATTGGTGCATATATAATGGGTATTTTAAATTTCAGGCAGATGCAGTCGCCCAGTATTACTACGGTTGTAGACGGGTCGAATCGTTCTCTTTTTCTCGACTTGGATGAGGCTATGATGGGTCTCCGAGCTAACTTGTCGAAAACACTTGCCGGTTAGTTATTGTTTGCTTATTTCATACCTATTACTTACACACTTTGACTATTTGGTGCTTGAATTTGTGTTAACCACAGCATGTTTAGTTTTTTGCAAGACAAAACCCATGTATAATTGATTTTGACCTCCTCCTAACCACATAATCGGAATACCAGTATTTTTTCCTTGGTTAAGTGCCTTTTTTTATTTTTTAGAACTCTGTCTGGTTGATGGTCAAATGTTGACCGTGAGCGACATAACAACCTCGAGGCCTCTTTCGTTTCGTCTTCGTTTAAGTGATAAAAATAACTGACCTTGGCTGCTTCATAGCTATATGTACATATTGCGCCACCATGCTTATCATCCTCTCTGCCCCAAAGCTCTTCATTTTCTGTGATAATGAAGTTGTTTTCACTATACTACTGGTTTTTTTTTATTTTTGCCTGATTATTGTTTTTATAACATTTTCTCGCGTTTGATCAAATCTTGTTTTCATGGTGTATTTAAAAAAATGCGAATAGACTCATATAGTTTGTTAATTTGGCGTCGTCGTCCTTCCTCTCAATCACTTGCACTTTTTGAATTACGAAGGATCGAGATTTCTCTAGAAAATCGCTTGCTCCGGTGGCTAACGCGTGTCAATTTACGTTCCGGAAATTCATATTTTTTGCCCTCATTCTTTCCAGAAATGCCTCTTAGAAACCCCCTGGGCTTCTACCGCACGAGCTTGTACATTATGTTTACTGATCCTTTTTTAAATCTACTAAAGAATCATTTGAAAGTCCTAGTCTTTAGTCAAATTTCGTCGAATGAGTTAACCACGTTTTCCATTTGGGCGTTTCGTTTGCTTAAACCTCATTAAAAAATTTTGTTTTGTGATTTGGACTAAAAACGCGGATAGCTAATAGAGGAGACGCTAGGTTGCTGTGTGCTACTAACAGCTAGGTTCATTTGTTCTGTTTTTAGTCATTTTTCGTGATTTCATTTGCGGCACGAAGTCCACTTCTTGCCATCACTCGTCGATGCCTGTCACGTCATCGGGCCAACATTAAACGCCAGTTTAAGTATGTTAGCCTCACAGACGAGCCGTTCGCCCTTGCGTTGCCACCAGGTTTGCAGTCCACCAACCCGGGGGTACCGCCGCCCATCGACGTGGCGCCTGAGGGGAGCATACCTTGGTCGTCTCTCGACCTGACCTCGACACTTTTAATTGATGCACGGACCCCCAAGGAATATGCACTGGATCACATCAGGGGGGCCATAAATATACCCGTCTTGTCAGATCTAGAGAGGTTAGAGATTGGAAAAATTTTTACATCAGGTATGAGCATATGATGATGGTTAGCGTAGAGCCTACACCTACACACCCCATGGTTTTAATCAAATTGATTTGATATTTCGTGCGTACGATTATTCAACGATGGTTATCTGAAGTGCTGTCGGATAGCAGTATTTCAGGAATTTCCCAAGTGTGATACAATTTTCAAGTTTTGCAATGTTCTACGGTTTAGTTCAATTCTTTAAGCCCACTAGGAGCCCAAATCTAGACATTTGTTGCATTCTTGAACTTGCCCTAAATGCGTAAAATTATTGACTATTAGTGGCCATGACACTTTCCTTGCTACTTGAACATTGGATTAATGAATTCATTTTGTTCCTCAAGCGCTCACGATTGAAACAATCTTTCATTCGGCAACAGTTAAAAATAAAAAGTCTGTTCTATATACACAGCATAGGAAAGACCTTGTGGGTTGAAAATCAACTTGATTTAATTCATATTCTCCGAGAATTAGGAAGAAGTAACTCCAATCATACCTCTTCATTGTTTAAGGCAACACACTGGAAGCTCGCCTTCGTGGTGCACGTTTTGCGTGCACCAACATTGCTAATTACCTTGAGCCCCAGAAGCCCCTCTCCTTACTACTTGACACCAAAGGTCATTCAGACTCCTCACGACTGTTTCTAGTCTACTGTGCACGCGGGGGTCAAAGGTCAACGGCACTAGCTACCATCCTTGCTGAATTAGATTTGCCGACATGCGAAGTGGCTTGTCTCGCCGGTGGCTATCGAGCCTGGCGCCGCGTGCTCCTCAGGCAATTGGAGGCTTGGCCAACCCTCATGGAACCCGGTGGACTCTCTGGAACCCTCTGGGTACTATCCGGTTTAACGGGTAAGAAAACGCATAGAATGGCTACTTGAGAATGAGAAGGTGAGCTGTCGAAACTTAGTTTGTTAAAAACTACCGCATCTGAACATGGCTTTATTACTTTCATTTATAAAGTTGCCAACTCAGCATTAGGCTTATGGCCGATTTCCCAATACTTCTCATAGTAAACTTAAACTTACCACATTTCGTAATGTATTATGAAACAAATATTCTTTTTTTAATTTGATCAGGAGTTGATATGTCCACCTAAATAAGATTTTGGGAATTTCAAATCCGAATTCCAAATCTGCTTCGAAGGAGGTCAAAAAATAATATGACTGCCTAACTGAGTGTCAATATGGAGACTGGATGTTAGGCATTTTGTTGATAGTGCAATCCCACAGCCCCATGTTAAGTTTCCTAGTGGAGCCAAGGCAACTCGGATTTTCAAGTTGTGTAAAAAAGGCTTTAGTTTGCGATATCCATAAACATCTTTTAACACCGACTTACAGTGGTGGTCCTAGCTAGTTTAATTAAGGTGTTAATTCAAACAAGTCCGTTTAATAAGAAAACAAACAACGACAAAATAACCGAACTCCTAAGAAATTGTCAGTTGAGGTAGTCAACTCGCTATGTTACACAGAGCCTGTTGAAGAATGCAACGAAATTGTCGTCAAAACATTTAATCAACCCGTACCCGCAACTGGTTTTCATTGCTTATTTATAAAGTGTACATTTTATGTCATATTCTACTTTTGGTTTAGGTTGTGGGAAGACTCTTTTACTTAATGGACTTGAGGAAGCAGGGGAAAGCACACTCAACTTGGAGGGCATGGCCAAACACAAAGGCTCAATGTTCGGTAAAAGCACTTCCGACAAGCAATTGAATCAGCGTTCTTTCGAAGCCGTATTTCACGATGCGTTAAAACGCTGCCTCGACGCACCCGTGGTCTGGACGGAATGTGAATCACGTAATGTTGGACCGAGCTGCCAGCTAGGTGGAGGTTTTTGGCGTCGATTACGAGGCACACAGTCTACTGTGCGAGTTTGGCTTGATGTCCCTATCCAGGCTCGTGTATCATGGATTCTCGAGGACTATGCTGATTGGTTGGAAAATTCGGAGGCAAGACAGGAGTGGGTATTCAAGTCGTGAGTTGAATTCCTGCTACCACAGATGGGAGAAACTTTGTTCAGCCCAGACTCAAAAGAGCATTTAAGACATGTAATTGTTTGGACTTTACACTAGAACCGCTCGAGGTCTGGCTAAAAGGGTATTGTGTATTGCAAATATTCAAAATTTGAGTTTGTTATTCGGAAATCTGGAGGCTAATTGCGGCCTTTACTTGGAGTAATGGTGACTTCTCATTAAGCACATCAGTAATTTCAAAGTATTCTTTTGTAAGTGATGTGTGGACAGTGTTAATGAGGGCACCCGAACAACCGTGCGAGAATTTCAGCGCCTAATGTCTAATCGGGCCCAAAACACAATAATTAGTTATCACAATAGCTCAATAGTGGTATTTAGGTTATTGAGAAATAATTAACAGAGTTATTGAAAAGTATTCGAGCAACATGTCCAAAATATTGCATGTTACTTCCGGTTGGTAATACTAAACCCAAGCTGTAGCGATTTTAGAAGGGTTCGCTGTCATATTGTTATTCCTACCCATGTTTCGGCTTAGACTTCAATTTTAATTGCATTTAGGCAATGACCAACCTTATTTGCATGTTCTTTGTTAAAACATATTAGTAATTAGGCGGTTTTAGGAAGACGATAGGATATATCAAATCCAAGTGCTTCAAATATGCATTCAGCCTGTTAGGTGTCACTAAGCTGCTGTTTCTATGGCGTGGTTTCCATTTTAACATCCTTTAATCTGTTGATTTGCTTCACTATGTTAGACTTGAAACCTACCACGGTAAAAGGCGCCTAGAGTCTTGGCGCACAATGGCTCGTTCGAGAGACTATGATAGTTTGGTTACGGAGCTCCTTGTGTATCATTACGACCCCCTCTATCGAAAGTCACGTGGGCCAATGTTAAGAACTTTCGCAGACGCTGGTCTTCTTCATCGGATCGACTTGCCCCTTATTGATCGAAAGTACCTTCGTCGAGAAATCATCCCCCGCCTCATAGAGCTCTCCAGGGGCTCCAACGATGAATGCGCCCACCAGAACCCAATTTTTTATCCATTTTAGGTCATTTTTTATCTCGCTGTACAGATTTTTAAATATATTTATTCGAATGGAGGCGGAATTTCGATTATGATTACGTTGTATCACTATGAACTAACTCTTTACAACTTTAAGGCAATCAGATTTTCTGCCCGGGAAATCTCCTGCTTGACAACCCTACCTCGCGTCACGGCCCTATGGCCAATGAACACGCAAAGTGCTAGGTAGGCAACTTCATCCGCGCTCCATCTACACATTTTGAAGTCCGCGAACCATTACATGAAAATACAAACTCACCGAGAGTATATTATAATGACGACAATGAGAGGCATTCATAGCATTCATTTATGGTACCCTACAAGGAGATTTTGATTAGTTTACTGGATCATGACGAATAACTTTTTATTGGTTACACAGAAAGTTGTGGTTTGTGATTTTGTAGCATTATTACGGCTGTAAATACCTGGCATAATTTTTCCCCAGTTTGTTTAACAATAACACTTTTTAAGATTTGTCAGGAACATTCAGACGTCTACTAGTCTTCAGCGCCATCCTGGCATTGTCTATCCGCACAAATTGAGTTGGAAATGGCTTATAGAGCGAAGCGTCGACCCTAATCAGTACACTGTCGATCCCATTCGAAAAATCCGGACCGGTGGACGCGGTCCAGACGGTAAGTTCTGCTTGCTGCCACCTTGGGGATTGTGGATTCTGGTGTTGATCGAGCCAGCCTATCATTGAATGATTCGAGTTGTGCACCCAATGTCATGTGCAAAATGAGAATTGATTTGATTTTGAAGGAAAACAACGAACAGCGCTTGCAAAGAAACCGTCATGATTAAAATATTTCCCTTTTTCACTTTAATAGAAAACAGGTGTGTTGCCACTGATTTTTGCAACGATTGTGCGTAAAGCGGCGACAAGGCTTTAGTTCATGGTGTCATTTTTTTATTTTGACAGGTCACATAAAATACAAGCACAGAACTACTGGCTTAAATAGGCCCTATTTTCTCGTTGACTACGTGCGTTCACGTCAAATGGCGACTAAGGAAGTCCACGAGGAGGTTGTTCTCAAAGTGAGTTTAACTTCGTAATTGCGTGTGCGATACGGACGCGGAATTAAAGTGTTTATTCCGATTTGGAAGATGTACACGAAAGGCGCGCCATCATGCAACCAGAATTTCGTTCATCAGACTACATGTACCTGAGTTCCACCTTAAGAATTTGATAACCGTTATTAGAGCAGCTTTTGTCGCGACACGGAGAAACGCAAAGACCAACGGAAAGATAGCACCAGGACGTAAAATAGTCAACCGTTTATTAGGTCGCGAAATACAAGTCGTCCTGTAGTTAGCGTACACATTTCTCGCTACCCTCCCTTTTCCAGACTTATTCAGCAGTGTGGATTCGAGATGGCGCACTTTTACGGAGGTGGGATGGGGCGGCATAAATATAGTGCTTTGAATTTTGCGACATATACGATGCAGTCTGCTTTATGCACTTTTTTTCAAGTGCGCATGCACTAATCAAGACACATTTTTGGTCTTGGTCCTAATTGGCTACAATTTCGAGCTTCAGTTGCGTCACGTTTAAACTAATATGCACATATACCGTGGCGTTTCTTTCACGTAGAAGAATCAGCTGTACATTATTTAGGAAATAATTGACGTCCACTTTTCGATAAATCACATCTAGACGTACTGCTATCATTATTTGTCTTTCAGATAGCCAAAAACTGGTGGCGCGATCCTTTCCTTGCACTGACTGCATCAGGCGAGGTAAAAAGGTGGATAATCGCTACATCCACCATGAAAGAGGGTGATGTAATCCGTTCTCACTGGGAAATCCCCAAAATTCCCGGTAAGGTTAATCTAATTAGTTTGTGGGCACTCTTCTCATGCTTGGTGGTTTACGTCGTGGAAACTAAAAGTTGCTGCGTTTACGTTCAATCGGGTCTACCCTAATGAGCCTGCGCACAGAACCACATTAACTGGGAACACTATCCCGCCGTATTCATAAGGCAACACGCTACTTCCTGCATTGCAAATGGCATACCGAGATTCCGTTGGCCCTTTCATCATAATTGTAATTAATCAATGTTCCAAACTCCTCTTTTTATAGCCTGTAGGAAACAGCGCTAGAGCCCTTTAACTATCCTAAACGTGGCAACTACCTGCCTTAGCTTAATCTATACACAACTTGTGATGGAACATGATTTTTTAAGTCCCGATGACTGCTATTTTATACGCCTGCTTTAGTCCTTCCTGTCCTTGGTGATGCCTATCCAGTCGGAGCCCTCCCAGTCGGCACCCAAGTTTGTCTAATTGAACTGCATCCGGGTGAGGGAGCGATGTCGTGTCGTGCGGCAGGTACAAGCGCAACTATAGTGCGCCGGGGCACCTCGGTGCATGATTTAGATAGTCTACACGCCCAAGTTACCGACGTCTTTTCAGCTGAACCAATCGACGACTCTGTCACTTGCACTCTCCAGTTAGATTCAACTCAGCGCGAACTGCGTCTTCTTCCAACTTGTGTGGTCGTCGTGGGCCAAGTCTCCAACGAGACACACAATAAGCAACGCTACCGCAAATTTGGTGAGAAGTACTGGCACGGAATAAAGCAGCGAAGTGGCCTTTATCAGAAAAAGACGGGCCGATTTGGGCGGAAGATTCGCCCTGTGGACCCAATGTTAGATTGTACCCAGGAGGAACCATCAGTTGGGGAGATAATGGTCAAATTTACGCTACCGGAACGACCAGAGGTTGAGCGAAGAAGGGCCAGAGAAGTTTTTGCTGATTCCTTGCTTATTCGACGACCTAAAGCAAGGCCGGTACCAGGACCCAATAATGCTCTTCCCCATACATTGCCCACATTCACCTGGCGACATAAGTAGGACGTTCTTGTTCACCTCTTAAGACCGAGAGTAAAATTTTGGCCCGAATTGACTGTTACATAAGTGAGTTGTGGAATAGTTCATTTTTGGTTAGTTAATCTAACTTAGTAAACAGTCGCTTCACGGACAATATTGTAATTTTATTATCTCCTGATTACAATGCTCGATACCTCAAAGTAAAAGGCTAGCTGTCCAGTTTGCCTTCATTCGTAAAAGTATCTAATAGGTCTTACCCAAAGTGGCTTGAATACAGACGGTCAGCTCATAGAACCCGAAATTATGTGTTACTTCTTTCAAACCAGGAGTGAAAGAAGTCAACAGCGATATCTTTGGACAATTGTCTGTGTTTTTTGTACATCCTTGGGATATCAAAACGTAGTTCAGCGACCACCTCACACATAGCACCAAGCTCTTGAATAGTCTTCATAATATGCTGGAAAGAAAATACAATGCATCGACTAACTTACCTTTCTGGTAGTTGTTTTATGAAGAGAATACACGTGGTTTCGACTCAAGCCTAGTGCAACTTTTAGAAATTCTACATCGATGCCTATAACAGAATTCGAAAACCAAGTAGCACTGACCTCTGGACCTGTCGTTTGCACCAAATGGCGGATTTAGAATGACAGTATCAAAAGGCTTCGTGTTAACATGAGTTAATTTTGTCACATCACACAGGACTAAGTCCACGGTAGCTGCGGACTCAAGTGGGAAGTTGCTTTCAAGGTTTTTTTGAGAGTCGGCGATGGCGTCTCTGTCGATATCAAAACCAACAACGAAACTGAAGCTTTTCAGACGGTGACAGTGGCTCACCTGGCTCCTAGTAGATGCGCTCCCAGTGTTAACATCCCGGCTCCGCATCCGAGATCTGCCACTGTTTTTTTGTTAAGCGCATCATGGCGGGTTTGCATGTCAAACAATATATCACCTATGTATGCGTACTAAGTAAAATAAGTGGCACTACCGGCAACTTGAGAAGATGTTGGATACTGCTCCAAATGCTGCTTTGGGTTTGAAAATGATTCCAAGCACTGAAGTTTCATATAAAGCTTCTTCTTACTAATAACTGAAAGTGACATGGCAGGACCTAAAATTTCAGGTTGGATGTATAATTTCTTTCAACCTGATTGCGTCCCCCAGATTAGAAAAGAACACCCAATCCCTAGGAACCCGCCTGAGTCACGGAAATTTGTGGGAGTTTAGCATCACATTGCTTAAAATGTAAAAGTAAAACAGGTGACTGGCTTTCACGGACTGAAGCCACTGTAATTTTTAACATCCCTGTAGGTAGAAAAATAAACTTATAAAACCCAAAGTAGAGTTTGTTTATTGTTTTTCCATTTTAAAAAATCAGGAGGGACTGGCAATTGCCGTTATGAATGGTTATGCAGTTATGGGATTGGTACAAACGTGTGGGTAGCTAGTTTATAACATCATCCAGATCTACGTGAATACAAACTTTATTGAAAAACTTTAAACAACTCATTTACTGTATTCATGACATTATTTCAACTATCTTATGTTAAATACAGTACTACTTTAGTGGCATGAAAATACGAAATATAAAATAACAAAAGACAATGATAGTGATCGCCAAAATAACGAATCATTGTCGCCGAATAAAAGTCAAAGGAGTAATGGAGGGTTTGGGACAAATATGAATACACAGACAGCTATGACTCAATTAGTCTGAAAAAATGAAACTATGTACAGGAGTAGGCTGATTAACTAAGAAATTTATCCAATTCAAACAAATGTCTGTGGATTCTAGCAAGCTTGCATGGCTTCAGTTAAAAAAAACCTATTCAAGTGGTCAACCACCATTAGTAGATACAACTGAAAAAATGAATTCGCAGAACAACTGATTACATTTAATGAGGGCCATCATTTGAATGATGACGACATCGATTTCGTCCGTTCGAGTACGCGAAACAATTAATATGACAGCACAAGTTTCCAAAATTAAAAATAAAACGGACAAATGCCGAATATGATGGATTGAAAAGCTGAGCAAAATTAACTTTAGAAATTTTATGGGGAGGACTTTTCAAACATCGGGCATAAATTGACTTAAATTGACTTTTTCAACTTAATCAAATAAAAATTACGAATAATAACCGAGCACTATCAGGAATGTTGCATCGCTGTGGTGTGGTGTGGCGACGGATCAGGGCGCAGACATGTTGGATCACCTGGCCGCAGCCAATCCCGTGTCTCTCTGCGATCCAATGGCATGCGGGAAAGGAAGTCAGCCAACCAGAGAAGGACGCGAATAAGGAGCAGTATATAATGAGCGGCGTGACCAGCGTGGCGGACTCGGATGGAAGGCGTCTGACGCGTAGCTCTGGCTTCTGATTGGTCAATAAAGCCTGTTCTGTTGTACCTGTCTTTTTCCTTTAGGGCTCGGGTATTCTACACCGCGTCGTATCAGAGCGCAGACATATTTGGCTACCTGGCCGCAGCCAACCCTGTGTCTCTGTCTTCCAATGGCATGCCAGGATGATAAGCAGCCAACCAGAGAAGGACATGGATGAGATGCAGTATATAATGAGCGGCGTGGCCAGCGCGGTGGACTTGGATGGAAGGCGCCTGACGCGTGGCTCTGGCTTACGATTGGTCAATAAAGATTGTTCAGTTGAACCAGTCTTCTTCCTATTAGGGCTCGGGTATTCTACACTGGTGGCAGCGGATGCGATCGAATAACGCGAATCGAACCCCAGCCCTTTCTCTTCAATGGACAACAGAGGCATAGACCCTTGAATGCCAGCTGAAATTGTCATGGCGTTCATCCGATGTCCAATGAAGTGGATCCATAGACATTGCCCGGGATTAGGACTTCTGCATCTGAAGAGG